AAAGGTAGACGATTGACCACTTAAAAACCCACTAATATACATGAAATGAGTTGTTAAGAAAGTAACTTTCTAATTATAAAAAGGACAATAAATTAATCCTACTTTCTTGATGATTATCACATTGATAATTAAAATATCAGAGATCAAACAATTTAAAAACATGAATAAAATGGAACTAAAATAACCCTCCAATTCCATGATATTAACTATTCCAATTTCTATCCAATAGCCATCATCATCTTCACAAATTCATCAAAACAGACTTGTCCATCGCCATCCAAATCTGCCTCTTTTATCATCTGTTCTACTTCTTCATCTGTTAATTTTTCCCCAAGATTGATCATCACGTGCCTTAGCTGCATGGGATCAAAAGGGTTTTTGTTTAATGACTTGCAGATTCTCTTGGAGTTCCACCAATTTAAAAATGTCTAAAATTGAGTAAAGTTCATTGCATGAGAGATGTGCTAAGCGAACAACTGTAAAAACAGCTATATTTAAAACTAATGACAGATCAATAGTCATGTGAACTCTAGGGTATATCTATGGAATAGACTGAAGATTAGGATTCATCTACTCGATTTTAAATTTATTGACAATAAAACTTAGTTCATTGTTATTGATGTTTTTCTAGTCTCTATAACATCATGAGAAAAAGCCTCACAATTTACAAATCATGTAAAAACTCAAGTTTTGGAACATTATGATTATTATTCTAAAATATTCAACTTCATTTACAAGTCTTGTTTTTTAAACTCCTTATTTAAATAACTCAAGCTAATATATGGGGTGGACACGTAACACATTTATTTGTTTAAATCAATCTTCAAAATTCCCCTTCAAGTGCGGGCTGATGTTATTTTTTTATGGAGGCATGAGCTGCTAGCAATTTTCATTAATGGGTAGTGGCAAAACTTCAACTAAGGACTTTGGACTCATCTTTGTGTGAAAGTTTAAGTTGGTAAAGGCGGTATGATGCTTACCTCTTTAGCAGATATGTAACCATTTTGATCCTTGTCAAACACTTTGAAAGCTTCTTTGAGCTCCTCCTCTGCATCAGTTTCCTAGTAATTATCAAAGCACATCCATCAGGCATAATGTGCAATCACAAAATGCAGTAACAAATGATGCAGAAATTCTGAATATTAATATTAATCAAGAATTCAGTTCAAGCTTCACCTTCATTTTGTTGGCCATAAGGCTCAAGAATTCTGAAAATTCTATGGTCCCATTTCCATCGGAATCGACTTCATTGATCATATCATGGAGTTCTTCCTCAGTAGGATTTTGATCCAAAGACCTGATAACTGTAGCCAATTCTTCAATGGTAATACAACCTGCAATTCAATCAGCAGTTTCATAATAACGTCAAGTTGATATTACACACAATCGGCAGGAAAGGGACGAGAAAGGATTCAGAGATAAACTAAGAACTGTCTAGTAATATGTAACAAACATATGCCCTTTCCAATTTTTTTTTTTTTTTTTTTAACACTAGTTCATGGCAAGTAAAACTAACCGTCTCCATCTTTGTCAAATAGACTGAAGGCCTCCTGGAACTCCACAATCTGCTC